ACTCCTGCTTGGCTGAATGTCCTTAATTGTTATTGTTCGGTCATCACACAAAAATTGTTTCTGTTTTAAAAGCTTTTGATTGTTTATCGCTTATAACTGGTATTGATTTTTATTGTATAATTAATCATTTGCCCATTGATAATTAGATATAGATACTATTATAGAAATAAGATAAAGGCGTACTCACTATATGGACTAATATAATAATAACTAACCAAATAATTACTGTAAGAGCAAATAAAGCTGTGGGCATCCCAAAGTGACTGAAATACGACAGTAGACCCTAGCAAGTCTCCGGTATAGTCTACTCGGTATGGGCTCTATACAAAAAACATTGGTTGGGTTGCGCCGTACTCTAGTCAAACCTTACTAAATTTTGGTGCGCCAAGATAATATTAAAAGAGGATTAAAGTAAGAAATAATTAATATGCGACGAGAACATGTGTTAGCGGTGAAGATATTGCATTACCAAATATCCATGTCAACTGACAAATTATAATATAGTTTTATATAATTACAATATGTAAGGTTAATTGTAAGGATAGAATTTCATGGTACTTTGTAAGTTAGTAATTTGTTACTGTAATATATAAGTACCTGTATTGCTTTTGTAACCAGCATTTGGGGGACGTTGTGCTAATCTCTTGGAGTCATGTTACAAAAATAAGGATCGAGAGTTTCGTGCTAACTTCTAATGTATGCGATTTGACTTGATGGTTTACATAAGTGGAAGAGGTTAAAGCTGTAATCTCTCACTAAAGATCGTATGTTACCGGCAAGTTGAATTGTATATATGCCTAAACTAGCCGGCAATGTATGCCCGATTCATATTTTACCCTCCTAGGATTCTATAGAACCAAATGAAAACCGGCAAAGTGTGAAAACATCCGATCGTTCGCCGAGAACCAACCTACTTACCAGAGTTCTAAATGATGTAAAAGGCCAAAATGACAACTAAGAAGAACCACAGAACTACCTACTGCTGAATCACTAGGATCTGATGTTTGTGGAAAACAAAATTACATTCATTTATCCTGTTAAAGAAAGCGCCAATACTATAGCGTACTACGTCACGAACACTGAGTTATTTCTCGTACTTCATGAAAACTCATTTGAGTCCTGCACGCGGACGACGTGAAAGAATGTTGAGAGAACTTTCAACCACATACAAAAATGTTACATGTAATGATATTGAACTCTGCCAACCATCTTTGTGAGCTCTGTCGGCATAAACGAAAAGTATTAAAAAGGTCATTGTTGTGGTAAAACTTATGACTGTTTCTGGATTTAATTTCCGTTGTCAGGTAGATTTTTCTGATTCCCAGTCTCACATAGAAAATACAAATTTCTTATGTTGTATCAGCATCATTTCACTATCTTCTTTTTACATATTTCGAATAACAGTTTTTTTAATGGCACTCTTTCATTATTTTTTTTTTGAGGAAGGAACGTCTTTTAAACATCGTTATATACATTTTTTCTACTTTGCCTAAGAGCATTTGTCATTCTATAGAATGCCTAAGTATTATATACAATGCCTAGGAAAGTATGTAATAATTTTTCTATTTCATACTTTGACTAAAATCGTCCAGCTTATTACATGCCTCCGCATTCTAGAATGCCTGTCGTTTCATACTTTACAGATAACATATATACTTTCTTTTAATGCCTAGGGATTTTTTTATAGAATCCAGGCATCAGAACCTATGTTAACACAGAATTGTTTCCAGATTTTTTCTGTTGATTTTTATTTTGAAGAAGGAATTACATAAACGTCTCAGTGCCAGGATTACAGGAGATCATCGTTTCTTTTCCAAATTGTTTACTGACTAAAATATTTTCAGAAATTAAAAATTACGATGTTTTTTAAGAAGCATTTTCACTACTTTGTGTATTCTTGTTTGATGTCAAACATTAGGTCATGAGAAGGAGAAGCTTCTATCGTTTTTGCTCGGGGAAAGTCTTAAAGATTCTATACGACAGTTTGTAAAGAAAGAAGAAAAGAAAATAGGAAAATGTCTTCTTGTTTTTAATTCTTATTTTTAGACCTTCTTTAATCTAACGGAAAATAGTATACTACCCGTAAAACAAACAGTCAGTTTTGCTAATTTTACAATAATTATAAAATTTTTAAAATTTGATAAATTTTTTAAAGCATCTAAAAATTCTACACGACTTTATAATCGATCCAAATTTATAGACATACAAACTGGTGAAATATGATGCGAATAAGTGTAATGCCAAAAAAGAATGGGAATGCGTTTGTAAGAATCTTCAGTTTTACTAACGTTTATTTTATTTTAAAACTTTACTATCCTCTCTTATTTTCCTTTCCGGCCAGAATTTAAAGCGTTAAATGTTTATGCAAATGGTACTTGCTAACTCCCCAAGTATTTAGTTGTGCTTTTCGCCAAGAGTTAGATAGGAGAAAGTGAGCCGTCTTTGCCACTGTATTTACACGCGAGTTTCCAATCAGTGCTGTCCGCTTTAGGCCAGAACTTAGTCCTCTGATATTTAAAACGTAGTTTCGGCAGTTACGTTACATAGTAATATTTAAAAGGCCCGTCTTAGCGTTGTCAATTGTTAAGCACTCGCAGTTGTAACTCTTATTTTTAGTTAGCAGTCAGTTCAGATCACAGTGGTTTGATCTCTGTCCCGAAGTGCGGAAGCGCCTGTAATATCGTTGAATAAAGGGTGAAGTAACCTCCCTGTTCCGCTTCGGAACGTATATTCCCGAAAAAATCCAAGCCATAACGTCCTGATAGTGGCGCCCCCGAAGAAGATACCATGGCCAGTTCCAGAAGAATATGAGGGCCTGTAGCAGCGGCCCAATCCAGAAACCCACTGTCACTCGAAGGATTGGATGCATCTTCCAGACCTGCGGGCATCGCGAACCAGCAGCAACTTTGAGGAAATTCACCGATGAACACGTTTTGGGAAAATTAGATATAACTTCATGCTTATCCAGTCCATGAGTTCCAACGTGACAAGTTCGAGCGCTTGCGGGGTCAGCGCTTAATTGGTTCCGTGTGAAAAACTCTGAGCCCTGGGAAGTCCCACCTACATAGAAAACTTCAAGACTGCTAGTAAAGGCTTCCCGTCGCAAGAAATCGTGCGAATTGGAGGGGAACTCCCACTTACCCAACAAAGAATTGAGACCTCCAAAACTTCATTTAAGAAAAATAAGTGTTTGTTAAGATTTGTATGGTACCAGCCGGCATTAAGGAATCGACGATTGGAAAGTTATTGAGCTCGCCATCCAGTTTGAAAGTAGAAGAATGGCGGACATTGAGTGGAAAGAAGACGCCAGTACGAGCAACGAAGCCAATCTGGTGCGCCAAGGCCACAGCAGAGGCAAGATCACGATTACGGAAGCAAGTCGAATAACTGGTCAAAGAAACCTGAATATTAAAAAACAATCGGCGAACGTCGCAGTTCAATAATAAGCCAGACAAAAATCCGAATACCTTGCGAAAATGTCTTCGAGTATTTCATGTTATAATTTCATCATTCCTTTATGCAATACAATAGTTAACAATGCTTTTCAATGTTATAAAACTCACTAGGACAAACTGGATGTTATCAGTTTGAATTTTTTTCCGATCCTAGCAAACACCTTGGCTGCATGCGGTTTTCCTTATATGCAGCATAAGTACGATCTAATTTTTTTAAAAAATTAATATCCAAGTAAGTAATCCAAATAAATATCCTCCCACTTAGATACATTATCCTGATGTGCTTCGCGGTATATAGCTAAATAAATAAACATAGTTTTGAAAACAACTAAAATTGCATTAGTTTTTTTTTTTTTTTTTTCGTCAGCTCGCATAAAATAAAATTATGCAATTATACGGAAATTAAAAGTTAAGTAGTAAATAAAAGTTAAACTGACTTTGAAATGAATTGAAAAACGTCTAACCAGCAGCGCGAATAGAATTTTTAATTTTAAGGTACCTAAACATTTTCTTATATTTTAAAGCATATTTCAAAATAAGCTCCTGTGATTGAAAAAGAATTCATATATGAGTAATAACACAAAAATTACTGTTTATAATTTTTTCTAATTGTTAAAAATATAAAATTAGATAACGTTAATATTTCTTAGTAATAAAATTAACGAAAACTTATGAAAACATATTATGCGGCTTCAAATCATTCTGCGCACATGCGAACTAATAGCATTTTATTCCGCTTGGAATTACATTTAGTTTTAAAATGTTAAAACCCTCATTCTTAGTACTTTGATACATTGTCTAAATGGAAAATTTTTATTTATATATACGTTTGTTTACAAAATTATACTTCTGTTTAAGACAAAATCAATTTTTTTATCTCTAAACTATATCAAATTTATATTACTCAATGACAAAAAACTGAATATTGCGTGTACCGAAATAGGTGTGTTTCTATGCTTTATGTTAGTTCAATGGGTAAACTAGTTAGAATCTTTTGTCTCCTTCCTTTTTTAACACAACGCAATGGATAGCTTGTCAAAGTAACATGCAAAGTGAAAATTAAGTAAATCTTTCCGTGGATATCAGTTTACTGGTTCAAGAACTTAATCTCACTCTGAGTGAAACTTATAAAAAATCTTTTTACTGTACTGAAATAATTTCATCAAAAACTCTTTCCTTATTTTCCATACCTTTCATTTTTATAGTATTAAAAATAATTAAAAATCAATGCATATAAAATGATGAACATCAGTAATTTACGTGAAGACTGACAAAGTGAATTATTCTAATGTGTATGAAACACAGAAAATGAGAAATCCATCTATAAAGCATTTATAATTTTTTTACTTTAAGGTTTCAGATATTATTAAATTCAATGCTTCGCTTTTATTTCCTTTAGATCTTAAAATTTATATTAAATAAAATAAATGAAAGATATCTATTACGGAGCCTCATCGTTTTATTTCCATCGCCGATGTAGAGGTAGTTCTGCCCTCTAGTGGTAAAAACGATTACTATAAACTTTTTCATTTGTAATGTTTAACTTTTTTGTAGACGTAATTTAGTTTTCTTTGCTGTAATTTTTTTACTACTAATAACTTTCAGATTCCTATTTAGAATAAAATGAGTTAAATTTCACCTTCAGACGAATCGTCCCTAATTTGTGAGCAGTGTACAGGTTGTGCCATCTATTGGAAGTTCTAGAAGAGTGCTGTTTTTGTCAACGGCCTCTTTTTGGTTGATCCCCTGGTGACGCGGCGTAGCGACTAGATTCCTGTTAAGTGTGTACGTGTGCAGGCAGAAGACAGGATGGCTCAACCTACGGACTCGGGACCTGTATTCTTCACTAAGGCTACTCCAGAACAGTGGACATACGTGCTTTCGCAGTATAAGGAAGTTTTGAAAGAAAGAGCTGCTAAAAGGACCAAAAAAGGTGGACCCGAAGAGCTTATTCGTCTCGATACTTGGTAAGTAGAAAACCTTTGTTCGCCTAGTTCAAGGCCATTCACCCTCCGTCCCTTTGTTAGCATTTGAACGTCTTCTGTCGGACTGAGTGCGAAAAAATTGACAAGCACATTTAAACTTGGGCGGGATTAGTGATGTTTCGCACACGTGCGATTAAAGCACATGTTTCGCGAAGCTTTGTTTTTCACCGTTTAGGCGTTGTTTCGTTCAATTCTGTGGGGGGCAGCTAAAGCAACCTCAGTGTGTTCAGTCTAGTGTAACCGGGCTTGCTATTCGTTGTATGGCCTTCCTTGTTTAACGCTAGTTTCAGGATGTGATTTCAGATTACATAGGAAGGGCGTAAAACTAAGTGATAAAAGCTGAATAATGAAATATGCATTACATTTAAAAAAATTATATCTCATATTTAACCATTTTATATTAAATTCCAAAGAATGTTGTATGTATGTACTTGCAGTATGGGTTTCGAGAAGTTTATCAGTATCATTAGTAGTATCAGACTACTTCAAACAACTTCAACAACTTCAAACTTATTTCACTGGTATCAAAAAAGAATTAAAATTACATTTTCTAAAGTATTTAAAGCTGAAAATGTGCATGGTGACCATTTAAAAAACGGTTATTTAATGCTTTTTTTGGAGGGGATTCTATTATTTTTGAAGAAGGTAACTAATAGTAGTAGAAAATTCGAATGTATTGTAAACCATCCTTGGAAAGAAAAGCATGTTCAGTTCAGTAAAATTAAGTAAAAGTGTAGAAACAACAAGATATACTTCAATGAATGTGGGTTTTTTTTTTTTTTTTTTTTTGCTTCTGATCGTTTTTGTATTTCACTTAATAAAAATTTTTGTTTCCAAATTGAGGCAATAGCTAAGTGACAGAAATAATCTATAATTTTAAAACATTTCTCTGGAAGTGATACAAGATCATTAGAATATTTTATTTAAGCCTAATGTGCTTTACAAAACTATAGGTATAATCTGTAATCTTTGTTAAACCTTTAAATGGCATTATGCACCTGTTTGATTTTTCCTTCGTTCAATTTCCAGTGTAATGTAACCTGAAACGTTTTTACTTATAATATTATTAGTTTTTTTTTTATCTTCATCAGAGGTGTCTGTCAAAACCACATTAAGCAGTTTTTGTTTTTTCTTGCTGTAACTTGACTAATTACCGTATATGTATTATTTTATTCTAGACAATTATAAACGTATATTTCCTGATAAATAGTACAAGTTGTTAAAAATATAGAATGAATGTACTTTTTGATACTTTTTAAAGCAGCGATCACAGCTAATTGTCAAAACTGTCAATCTTAATCACAAAATTTATGTGCTACTTATTAACACAACCACCACAGTTAACCATCAAAAGTTGCATGTGGTGGCCGCTTCAGTAAAGTGCATGATCGCCCACTTATTTGTTCAGCACATTTTACAAGAGTAAGAAGAATTGAATTTTTGTCAATTTTCTTTGACTTTTTAAGTGAAAATAGGTCGATGTGTACATGGATAAAGGGAGTGCACAATGCCATTTTTCTGCAATTCTGTGATGTTTTTATGGTGAATCTTTGGATTATGGTAACTTGGTGATTTTTTGGCGAAACTTTGGCTACCAATACTGTTACAGCAACATGCTAGTTTTTTTTTTTTTTTTTGGATGCCATTTTGTTTTTATGAAGTAAAGGCTTTTTTTTTTAACTCAACATTTTTTCCAATAATCCGCTAGCCGAATTACGCTTATGCTAGAACTTTTATGGAACAAAAGTGCTTAATCATGACGAAGATTAGGTGCGAAATTGGGAGAAAGTGTAGAATCGCCCACTGCTTGCCGTGTTTTTAAGAATTGCATATACACAGTATCCATGTACACGTCTACCTAGTTTCACTTAAAAAAAATCCCAGAATTGCACAAAACTGGCATTGCGCACACTCTTGACTTTATCCGTGTACACATTGACCTCGACCTATTTTCACTTAAAAAGTCAAAGAAAATTGACAAAAATCTAATTCTTCTTACTCTTGTAAAAAGTGCCAAACAAATAAGTGGGCGATTCTGCACTTTAGCAGTTAAATTTTTTCTAAGTCCTTAATAATGCTTTCTAAGTGCTTTTTAGCTAATGCTGAAATCCCGATTGGAATTTTCCAGAAAATGTCACATTACATGTCTCATGATCTCTCATTTCTCTGACACAAAATAATCTGGGATTCGAACTGTGTACTTTTCAGATTACTGCTAAAGTCCTAGCTAGTAACCTTTATCGCCTTACCAAAATGTTGTCAAACTACCTGTTACCATATTCCAAAGATTAGTCGTTTTTTTAAAGTGAAAATAGGTCGATGTGTACATGGATACCGAGTATGTGCAATTCTTAAAAACGCGTCAAGCAGTGGGCGATTCTGCAATTTTTCTCGAATTTCTTGCCTGGGGACACCGAAAGATTTGGCGCCCCTTTCTGTGTTCCAAGAATGGAAAACATTTCATTCTGAAATGTGTATCATCAATTAGTTACCTGGGGATGGATGTTCTCCCTTGCCCCACCCTGGCTATGCCACTGTATATGTGCACCATGGAATATGTCTAAGAAATTATGGCAATTTATTAAAAGTGCATATATCCAAGTATGAGGTACCAGTGGCATTTTGGCATTAAAATCAACAAAATGCACGTTTTCTTACAGCACTTTTGGAATTTTGTGGCAGAAGACTTGGCAGGTTAGATGATTTAAAGTATTTTTTAGGCTCTAGTGTAGAATTGTGTGCCTCTTCGATTAGCTACAATTTAAAAAAAATTTTGGCAATGAAACCTCACTTCTGATTACCGTGATAGTTTTAACTTTGTTTTAGCTTCCTGATTTTATTTAAATGAAAATAGATTGATGTGTACATGGACAAATTTAAGGCAGTGCGCAATGCCTATTATGTGAAATTCTAGGATGTTTTTTTAAGTGAAAACAGATCGATGTGTACATGGACGCAGAGTTTGTGCAATTCTTTGACTTCTTATTTTGGTTCTGTGTAGCGCCCATTTTGAAATTGTGCCTTCTTGGTGCCAATCTTGGGGTCAAAAGAGAAACGCCATAAAACAAGGGGCACCCAATTGTAGACCTCTATTGTATGTTATTGCATGCTGCAGGAAACTTATGTACTCATTTTTTACCTTCGTTTTGGTTTCAAAATTTGAAAGAACTACTAAGTTTCACATATAGATATATATATATTTGAGTCATGCATAATAATAACAAACTTAATAACAATTTTTGTATCACACAATTGTTTAAATAGACATTGCTTTGCAGCTGTATATTTCACTGTTGTTTTGCTTGTCAGTGTATGTACACATGCACTTTTTTTTTTTTTTTCTTTTTCATATTGAATTGGGATTGGGGAGTGTACTGACTGATGCATAAAAAGAGGTTAAATTTCTTCCAAAATATTAACATAACTACACCTTTGAGCTGTAAAGACACCTAAACAAACATGTTTTGTAAATTCACAAAGTCAGCAATGAGATGATTTTGGGTGGGGGAATGGGTAATCTGAAAATACTGAAATTATTAGTAACTGTCTAAGAGTATACTTTAAAAGTGGATAGAGCTCTTCTGAAAGTGCGTGTGAACAGTCAAACCACATGAAATAAATCAGGTGTTTTCATTTGGGTCCATATTGAACTCTTGCGTTCCATGAAATGTGAAAGGAAGTTAATGATTATCAATGATTAGATAGCTGGCAGTTGTTCAGTATAATTCAGTTTCCGTTGATTGTAAAAAATGTATGAATAAAATTGATAATTGGTCAATAAAAAGCGGTATCATGTAATAAAGAAGAAATCAAATTAAAAAAAAAAATCTGAAAGCATTCAGATTTTGCATTACGTACCAAAGGATATTTTTTAATGTTTTTACGTTATCTTTATATATTAAATATCATGTTCTTTGCTGTTAAACCACATAAAATTCAATTCAACAGCAATATCACAGAATATTTAAAAATGGCATAGCTTTAGAATTTCTGATACACAGGCTCATACGCTGGAGATAAAAACGTTTTTTTTTAATATATATTGTTACATTTTTCTTTCTTCTGATACCAGTTGTTACGTTATTTTCTTCTTTCACGTTCGTACGGGGTTCGCAGCGAATAACGACACTTGATGAAGTATCGAAACGCACTTTATTTACCAATATTTTAATAAGATAGCTCAAAAATTACTTTTACAGTCATCGAACTGTTATAAGCATGCTGACACATTCAGCGACACAGCCTTCACACCGTCAGGCAGTAACGGTGGTGACAGCTTCACTGCAAAGCACCCGAGTACAGCTCCCAACTTTCGAGACTCTCTACGCTACAACTCACGATGCACTAAAAGACTCTCTCGATGCACTCGGCACTAGACTTCGAGACACCCGTTCAATGACTGACTATCAGCTGGCTAGATGAGGCACACACTCGATACTATCTATTTCGCACTCTGGAGGCACACACTAACTGACTGTGAACCAGTAGGGTCTATATACAGCAGTGCTTGTGTTCGAGAACATTCTGGGCTAAACTGGTAAGAATTCATTCCAGAAGGTCCATGGTATAGTACCAATATTGCCACCAAATGGGTGATTTCTCGCCAAATGTGGCAACCCTTCCATCCCTTACCATTTTATAGCAACCCTAAAATTGCTTTGCCGGGAAGCCATCTCACCGCGCCTGTACATTTCGTAACAAGTTAAGGTACTATTCAGTTTTGAGGGCCGTAAAAAATCGCCAAACTATTGTTGATGCCAGTGCTGCCAAAAATAATTACGGCAACCCTAATGAAAGAAAGGAAATATAATAGTAAATAACAATCTAAGATTGATGTTTTAATTTAGATGAAAGGTTAATTTCATATAATACTTTTTTTATTATTATAATTTATATAAAAAAGGGCTAGACATGACTGAATGGAAGCATAAGAATAAATAACTATTACAGATCATTATTATAATATATATAAAAATTAGTAA